CTTTCACAACGAAACACACAGCGCCTTCACGACATGGCGGCAGCAACAATACTAAAGCAAGAATAAAAGTTATGCCTTTCTTTGCGTGAACATTTGGGCGACGTTATGCAAATCTTCCCACATCTTGACGTAGACATGTGGGGGCGTGTTAGAACGAGCCGTTTTAGGTAGGTGTGGTTGACTCTTAACTTTTATAAAGAATATCTCTTTGGATTTGAGACTTTAGTCTTTGCAACTTTACAGATCTTCTTTATGCACCAAGAGCTTGTAACACTTCAAAGAGAAAGGAAAAATTGAAATAGCATCATATGACCCCTTTAAGGGGGTTCAAATATTTGTTGTTTAAAAATTAGCCACTTTTCATGCTAGTTCATGATAATTTTATGTTAAACTATAGTTTATCAAACAAATCTGACAGGTCTCACACCACAACAACAAAACATGGATTTTGAACAGCTGTTGCTTAAAAGGTGTCTTGTCTTGTATGTGCCTTGTAATGGCTTGATGCTCAGAAATGGCTCTTTGTCATTCATCTTTCTGACTGGCTCCCTTTCTGATTAAACGGTTTTCTCCTTTCAACAAACAAACACCAAGGGTGAACAAAGCCAGCCAGCACAAAACGGGTTTGTTTGTCTAATCTACTGAGCCACTTAGCAGCCGTGAACACAAAGTGACCTTGCAGGCGGGATACGAAGTGATTTTCAGCCGTCAGGTTCTCTCACGTCAAATAGTATCTGTCTTTGTTCCAGCGGTTCATTCAAGACTGATGCAGATGAGCCGACACTATTCCCCCCAGCGACCCAGTCCAGAACTAGAGAGCCCCGTTTCCCCTGGTAACCCGCCTTTGTTTGGGTAGCGGCGGCACTGCTCACTCATCACGGTCGCCAGTGCAGTCCCTCCCCGGACGAAGGAGACAGCGAGGCCGGGAGAAGAAAGGGGGAAGGGTCGGTTCGGCCCATAAACTTTCAAACAAAATACAGAAGTACAAACCAACAGTTCTGGCCAAGAAATGTTTACTGTGCTTAATTGCAGCTCGCTGAAACTAATGATGTGTCATCACAATAATGTCTACAAATTGTTTTCGAAGGGAAAAATAAACAACATGCCAAATGCAGATACTAATTCTCTACCCATAATAACTTTGCTGAAGCGTTTGCGCCGTTTTGACTGATGACAGCTTATTACTCACAAGCCAAGTCAACGTTTAATAAAAACAAAGCACATATTATAAACACAAGTCTAAGCCTAAACCATCTAAATCACATCATAACTAGATAAAAAATTAGCTTGGGTCTCAATGCGAGGGAACTGCGTGTTGAAACACATGGCTGTAATTTAAAAACCCGATGGGTGCATTTTGCCGCAGCACGATAGCAGGTTCCCCGACCACGGATCCCCAAAGCGGCTTTCGTGGTTGGCCGCAGGGTAGCAAACCGCTGTGCAACAATCAGCCCCAACGGTCCCAACAATACAACTCTTTATATCTGCAACAATGCGCATTTGAAGCATAGGAATGAACGCAGAACCTGCTCATACTGACCTGGCGTTCAGGGGGATCTGGGAGCGGCCATGCCCGTTAGTTGGAGAGTCTTTGAAATAAACTTTTCCCTTGCAGTCCTCAGTACTTGCGTGAAAAGATACTGCGCGGCAGCAACACACAACACACGATCTGACCGCCTCGCGCTTCCAATCGCAGTCTGTCTCTGTGGGTGAGTGAGTGCGCGTTCGCGACACTGCGCACTCCCGCCTGTCCTGTGAAGCTCTTTTGGACTGCTGATGCTCCTGTGTTACTGCATCGGGCCCCCTCGTGGTGGTGCAAGGCTCTTATGGGATTAGATCTCTGCCACAATTCTGCGTGCGAAAGATCATATTTTGAGCGCGCAAAAGTGCGTTTTGCACGCGCGTGATCTGAGTTTTGTGGAGAAAATGTTTGTCTCGCAAAGAAGAAAGTATTTCGAGCGCACGAAAATCAATTTTGCATTTAAAATAAGTTTTTAGATTTGTGCAGACCTCTTTTGCACGTGCAACGTTTCACTAGCTTGCTCACCTGATGCCGGCCCTCAGTGCTCTCTAAATGCCAACGGCTCCCTTGCTCAACACAACCCAGCGTTACAATATGCCATAATTCCAGCCAATCAGAGACGAGGCTGCTAAATTCTGATTGGCTGCCTTGACAACCAATCACAACATTCCTGGAAGATAAAATGAGCCAAAAAAAAGAGATTTAACTCAGACCGAAAGTCAAAAATGATTAAATGCCCATGAGAAATATTCAAAACTATTGCAATACTAGAAATTGCAAAGTTAATGCATAACCATTGGACAGCAAAATGCTCAGTGGGTCAGCAGGGTCAGTCAAA